CTCCCGCAGCCTTTCGGGTCTTAAGGTTGCGGATTTGCTTTGCCACAGCAAAAGGCGTGGTGGTGACATCTTGCAACGTAGGTGTAGTTCTTCCACGTGATGGGGCGTCGGGTGGCTTGAAGTCTGGCACATTCCATGAAGGATCATCTTGTGTTCCAAAACCAATAAACTGTTCGTTCAAAGCATCTGCCACATCCACAGGGTCAGAATATAGAGTACCAGCGACAGAGAGCTGAGTTACAGTCGTTCTGCTGTTGCCTTGGGGAGATCGAAGCTTCCGGACAAACTGGAATAAACTTGGTGATGCGGGTCTTGCCGTGGATGCACTTAGGGATGAGATGTACAGTCGATGGGCAGTTCGAGACATATTGCGAGTAACGTTTCGTTCTCGTCTGTAAATAGCGAAGTTGTCAGCCGAGGGAAACTTTCGGTAAACACTATACGAATCTCGTTTTTTCTTTATTTGATGTCGGAGGGTACTGGTCAGCCAGGGGGGGTTCATATGGATACGCTTGACAGCCGGCGGCTTCCGCCTGGGCAGAAATCTTGCACAGATGTTATGGAAGATAGAGTAAAAGTTGTCCACAGATATGTCAGGATCGCGCCTCTCCAGGCTCAAAGCTGCTGGCCAATGTATGTGGGACATGGCAGTATTCATACTCACGACAGTGTTGCTGTCTAGAGAATCCAAAGAAAATACACTAAAATCAGGGACATCCAGGGGAGTCGAACGAGCATCACGAGAACGATATGTGGGCATTTCTGGGCAGGGTACAGTACGGATGTGGCCAACCACGATAGAATGATCGGATTGACCAAGTGGTGCTGTAGCACGGAGGCAGGATATAGAGTCCGGTATATCAGTGACAACTAGGTCGAGAGCTGCCCCCATGCCAGACAATGACTCATGTGTTGGAAAATTTACGAGCTGCGTGAGAGAGAACATGCCGAAAAGACTGTGAAGCTGGCGACCAGCGGCATCCGTGGTAGTTCCATGCCATTGACATGACTTAGCATTAAAGTCTCCCATCAACATGATAGATGTTGTTCGGTTCTTAAGGGTACTTAGACAGTGCTGGAGGGAATTGCAGAAGGTGTTGATACTTGATGGAGTAAGGGCTGGGGGCCGATATACTGCACCAATAACCAACTTCTTCACATGAGGCGCCTCTGGGAAATGTATGTTAGCAGATGACAGGGCTATTTCCACCCATGTGGCTTCCAGGAGAGGGATACTGAGGTCAGATCGATGGGTGACCTTTGGAAACATCCCAGACCGTACCATGATACAGACGCCGCCATATGCATGGGTGGCATCGGTAGCTGACCTGTTTTCATCTGGCGGACGATCTCGGCGAAAACAGTCATATCCAGGGACCGTAAAAGACGACTGTGGAGAGAGCCATGTTTCCGTTATGCAGACAATGAGGGGTTTAACTGTGGAACAAATGTGAGCCAGCTCGGCAGTCTTGTTCTTAATGGACCTGGCATTGATGCACATTATAGGCTGTGATCCTGCGGTTGGCTGCGAAAGTGGGTAAAAAGGCTGAGCTAATGGATTAAGTGTGCTGTTAGTAGTAATGTTTGGGGAACAGTGAGGAAGTATCTGGGGGTTGAGGTTCATTATTGTGCAGACTGATCGACGGTTGTGTTGTCAGCTGTACTTATTCTGTCAGCCTTGAATCGCCATTCTCGGGCTGTCACTCCGTCAGGCCAAAAGTCAGTGTTTTGCACAGCTTCCCAGTCATCTTCTGTGACGACTACGTGCGCGTACGCTAGGCCAAAGTACTTTGTCTCAGAGACGGAGCATTTCAGTACAGTCACTTGCTTGTTTTCGCACCATTTTGCGATGGAGGAAGCAGAGCAACCAGGGTGGATTCTTCCAACATGAACAGCTTTGCATTTGGTACAATGGGCGCTGCGCAGTTGCTCATGTTTGCGGGGTGGGCGCTGGTAGTATGAAATGACGTTTGTCCGGAGGGCTTGATCAGTATGTGTCCCCGTATTGGAGGTAGCTGACTGTGTCATGGGAGAATGCGATGGGAAGTGAGCTTTGGGACGTGCAGATACTACTTTTGCACTGCACGAGTACGGGTTGACTCCAGAGTGCGTATTCCGTGCCTGTGCTGCTCCATCCAGCTCAGGAGAGACTTCTGGTACGGGTACGCTAAGTACGGGTGCGTCAGGTGCGGGTGTAACCTTTTTGAATTCCGAACTGCCAATTTCTCTCTTCAGAACTTCAATTTCGGCGTGGAGGGCTGAAATTTCGGCTTTTTGGCCAACCTTCAGTGCCACTATTTCAATGCTCAGGTTTTCAATACAGGTCGTCAAAGATAATAATGCATTCTCTAGCCTGGATACATACGTTCCGGCTCGTGCATCCACACCAAATGCCCGGAGGCTCTCCACCAGCTCAGCACGGGACAGCTTACTCACGCCCTCTATGCTGTGTTTTGTAGCCAGTTTCCGCAGGTCGTCGAATCCCAGCAAAGCTAAGTCCTGGGTCCCCTGGGCCTCCGACGCGTCAGAGTCCATGCCTACCACTACTACTACCCGCTACTATGCTCCAGACCGGCCTGATGCCGGCTGGGCTACTGGAAATCTACAAAGACTACGGAGCTCTAAAAACTCAACCTGACCTCACCTACTAGTTACACATATTTATTTACTTTATCAAAGTAAATGAGAGATGAGAAATGGGAGGTGGGTGGGTGAAACACAATGATCTGACAAGAGTGATCCGCACACAGAACGAATCGAAATATAATACACACTACGAGCAAGGAAGAATGATTGTCGCAGAGAACGGATCGAAAATATATAGCAGAGCAAACTCTAGCAAGACATGCAACGATGCATGCCACCCACGTTAAGCTACGAGCAAGCGTCATCATAACGCAGCCACACGCCTTCCACATCGGAGGCGAGCGACACGCATGAACGCCAAACTTTAGTATGACACGTTGAGTGCCTTCGACGCATGCCGCCTACGTTGAGCGTCGCGCATGAATGAATGTCGCGTTGAGTGTCACGTTGTATGACACATAGAATGCCACGATGCATAGAGTACCATGTGAGCACGTACAGCGCACGTTCATAGCAGCATAGTTTGAGTGGTAGCACGAAGCAGCCGCGTGCACCCATTAATCTGCATTATTACTATAATGCTACACACACACACACACACACACACACACACACACACACACACACACACACACACACACACACACACACGCACACACACACACACACACACACACACACACACACACACACACACACACACACACACACACACACACACACACACATACACATACACACACATACACACACACACACACACACACACACACACACATACATGCACATGCAGAGAGAGAGAGGGTGTTCAAAAACAGAACAAAGGAAAATGCCAGGAAGAGAGGTGTGAGATGCAATTGGAAAACGATAAAGAAGATGACGAGGTTCTGTCACTAAACTGTCACTGCGTCACAACACAGAATAGTAGAACAATGGCATGCCTTGGCAGATAATTGTGACAGAAAATGGAGCAGAATTTGGGACCTTCACTGATAATCCTAGTGCATGTGTGGCCATGGAAAGGGGGTGGGGGGGTGAGGAAGAGAATTAAGTTATAGGCACCACACGACCCCCAAAGTCTAACTCGACTAAATGTTTGAAAACTCCTACGCGGTGTGCGCAAACCTTCTAACATTGGATTTTACACCTACCAGTGCAATGTGGAGTCCCTGACCATTGTCCATTCGAGAGACAGATAATGGAGCTACTACCGTTGATTTGGTATCCAACATTGCATTCAACTTTCACAACATGTCCAGCTCTAGTGATGGTTGTGGGAGTAATTCCGTTCTCAAACCGCAGGGCTGGGCATGTTTCTATAGCTAAACACAAAGAAAAACAGAATGACAGCAGAGGTGGAGTTTGTTCATGGATGTCATAGAGGAACAATATCACCTAGAAGATTGCAGTGTTTCTTTTTCGCTTGGGTTTGAAAATCTTTATTAATTTTACATACGCAATTTCTGATTTCTTCTCCAGTGTATGATTTATTGAATTTTAAGACATTGTGTTAGTTTTTGCCGGTAAAAGAGGCCCGTCAAAAAAAAGATTGTAGTGTTCACAATGAAAATGTACCCGTACTGTAATACCGGGTGTAAGTGACCTCTTGTTTAGCGACCACCTAATTTTAATGGACCGTTCTTCCACGCACGGACAGTTCTACACAAAAATTGCACCGGATGCGGAGACCACCTGCGTTGTGCGACCAGAGACCCACTTTTAGCGTACCAAGTGCCATATTGGACCTGCAGCCAGCGACCAAAAGCAACCAGCAGTGTCATAATTATTGGCTGGTAGGGTTGACTGCAAACGGGTTGAAATGCGCTCTGAGTCTGAAGCAAATGCGCGCAGTCAACAGAAGTGACAAGCGACCAACGTGACAGTGCAGGATGCGCTGCATGCACTTGAGTGAGGTGTGCTTTGTTTGCAGGAAAATAGTCTATGCTCTGCGCCTGTGAATATGAGTACGTGCCTAATTATGGAAGTGACAAACATGCACGGGTATGTACACAATCCGACATGCCACGAATGTATGGGACCTGGCTCTAAAGACCACCTGGCTTTAAAGACCACTTTTGCTTGCACCGTGGGGTGGTCCCTTTAAAAGTCAGGTTTTACTGTATTTCAGTGACTTCAAGTGGCTGAGGAAGGCTGTAAGTTAATTAAACTACTGAATTTGCTGAATGCTGACACCTGCCAATATACATTTGCGATAGAATCAGACAAGAAGGGGGGGGGGGGAGGGGTGGCTAACTGTTGACAGTTTCAGAGTGGAGCAGCACCAAAATACCTACATTACACTTCATGAAACTTACGTTGGCAAGTTGGCTGAGGTGCAGACCAAACTCCTTGCAGAAGACATGTTATAGTGGCGACACCAACCAAGTTGAATCCTTCATTACAAGTGAAGTTTCGGATTGCTTCGAATCCGTTATCTCCAGGCGAGACTGAACCATTTCTTGGATGTGTCAAAAATGAACAAGAGACTCCTAGGAGGGTTTGACAAATGAAAAATAAAAAAAATAATTACAGTCTAGGGTCAAAGAAAAGCAATTCGGAGAGTTTTCCTTGTGATTGCACAGTACATGAACCTTGTGCTCAGATTTCAACGCTTGCTCTGCACATCAACAAGCGACATTGACTCACGCTACTATCTAATGTTCACGAGATGTTTACTCACGCTGGAAACGGAGCGTCAACGTAATTTAAATCCCTGGTGATGTTTTGGCCACTATAAGAGTTGTGATTGCTTCGTGTGTAAAACTCAAAGTTACAAGAACAGTTACAAGAAAAGAAGGGGTGAGAGGGGGAGAATGTCACATACTGAGGACAGTCTCAAAGTGAAACAGCACACGCACACAGCTACTTTGCACTACATGACACTTACGTTGGCAAGTTGGCTGAGGTGCAGACCAAACTCCTTGCAGAAGACACGTAATTGTGGCAAAACCAACCAATTTGAATCCTTCATCACAAGTGTAGTTTCTAATTGCTTTGAAACTGTTATGTCCGGGCGAGACGGAACCATTTTGATCATGTGTCAAAAGCGGACAAGAGACTCCTGCAAGGTTGAAGATTGAAAAAAATTGTTCAGGGTCAAAGAACCGCAATCAAGAAAGTGTGCCTTGTGATTGCACAGTAGCGTAAAGTCCGCTGCAAACGCCCGCCCTTTCTGCAAGATCTGCGGGCCTGTATGCACTTTTAAAACTCAGGCACTGTCACAGAAAGCGTATGAAAGTGCATATCACACCGCAGCGTGAATCCTGCTTTACTATTGTTAGGTACCCCCTCCCGTACCTTTTCTAGCTGGCCTGCATGCACTTGCGTACTCACCTTTTGTCTCCTTTTGTTCCGTTGGCCTTGGTAGCTACTTGCGCGCCCATATTTGCCATAGCCACCCAGGCCCTTTATCTTGCCGTTCAGACTTGCTCTCTTTCTCACTCGTCAATAATCACCATGTAGTCGTTTCGTTCGTCTTGGTCTCTTGTCCCGTCTCTAATAAATGTCGTTCCACCAACCTACCTGTTCCCGTTGTAATGTCTGGATAATGTGTCGTCAGTCGTCCTTTTTTTCGTATTCAACATTGGCGCCCGATTATTGATCGACCCACGACCCTGAGATCATCCCATGCCCAGCCGTCATCAACCGCCATTCGTCTCGTCTATGTCAACCTCGTCTCGTCCATGTCAGTCTCGTCTCTCCTACGCCAACTTCGTCTCGCCTCTATCAACCTCATCTCTCCTACGCCAACCTCGTCTCGTCTCGTTCAAGCCATGCAGGTCAGCTACTTTTCTCTCTTTCTTTTTTTTTGTATGCGTTCCTTCTTCGTCAAATTTATTTTCGTGATTTTTTGTAGGGTGTGTGCGCGCGTGTGTTCATACAACATTACCAAGTTAGGGGTCCAATCATGGTGAGCCACGCTCTAATTTTTGGATGTTTAGCAAAAGTGTAACTAGGCTGTATTAGCCGTGCAAAATACTAGTAATTCACGTTCCTCGTCAAACTCCAATAGTTATTACACACTATAAGTAGTACAGGAATGATCTGTACTGTAGTGCATTTTTAGTGCACACTTTTGTGAGATCCGTGCACGCGTGCAATATGTGTGTGTGTGTGTCTTTTTTCTCCTCCAGTCATTTTTTAAAATCTTTTTCTCTCTTTTTTTTTCTCTCCGCGAGCACGCGGGATTTTTTCATGGAGGGGTGGTATGTTAGGTACCTCCTCCCGTACCTTTTCTAGCTGGCCTGCATGCACTTGCGTACTCACCTTTTGTCTCCTTTTGTTCCGTTAGCCTGGGTAGCTACTTGCGCGCCCATATTTGCCATAGCTACCCAGGCCCTTTATCTTGCCGTTCAGACTTGCATTCTTTCTCACTCGTCAATAATCACCATGTAGTCGTTTCGTTCGTCTTGGTCTCTTGTCCCGTCTCTAATAAATGTCGTTCCACTAACCTACCTGTTGCCGTTGTAATGTCTGGATAATGTGTCGTCAGTCGTCCATTTTTTCGTATTCAACACTATGGTAAACTTTAAACCAGTACATAATGCTGATGTTCCCTGCTCTATGCCGACTCGTGTTCTGTTTTGATTTCTCATTGTTCACCTATCTGTCTCATACAAGTTACCAACTACATGTAGTTAACTTCGCTAATAACGACAGCGGATATAACGACAATTCGCTAATAACGACAGCGGATATAACGACGATTCACTAATAACGACAGCGGATATAACGACAATTCGCTAATATCGACAGAATGCCCATGCCCAGAGCAAAATCCCATCAAACTGTAACACATGATCATAATGAGACTTCGGGTATAAGGACACTAGAAGGGATGGGAGAGGGAGCATGTGACATACTGAGGACAGTTTCAAAGTGAAGCAGCACACACACACACAGCTACTTTGCACTACATGACACTTACGTTGGCAAATTGGCTGAGAAGCAGACCAAACTCCTTGCAGAAGACATGTAATTGTGGCAAAACCAACCAATTCGAATCCTTCATTACAAGTAAAGTTTCGAATTGCTTCGAAGTTGTTATCTCCAGGCGAGACTGAACCATTTTGTGGATGCGTCAAAAATGAGCAAGTGACTCCTGAGGGGTTGAAAGGTTTTGAAAAAACTTAACAAATTGTTGAGAGTCAAATAACAGCCCTGAAGAAAGCTTGCCTTGTCATTGCACAGAACCGTCAAGTCTGCTGCAAACGCCCGCCCCTTTTTGCAAGATCTGCTTGCCTGTATGCACTTAACAAGCAAAACCCCATCAAACTGTGACACATAATAATATAATGAGACTTCGGGTATAAGGACACTTCGCGAATAAGGGCACTTTTCTGATGCCCCGCAGATTGTCGTTATACGCAAAGTTGACTTTATACTATTTTTAGTTATGGCCGCTCACCACTGTCGATCTAGGCTTTCAATTGGTTATTGTTGTAGACCGCTGTGTCACCTATGCAACCAGCAGCACCGATATCAATGAACGTGAACAGCCCTTGTGAGTCTAAGCAAGCTAGTAGCAGAATGGCGGTGTATCCCTTGTACGTCCAGTATACGTCTCCGTTTTCTTCTGGCCCCACTATACTATGCCCAGGAAAGTGCCTTTGACAGCACATCGCAAGGTTGGATTCCGATAGCTTCTGAAACCTTCTCATGCTGCGGTTCAGCTGGTGTCCCAGAGGGAACAAAATAGCGGAGGAATATTCTCCTCTGCAACAGCACCAACCTATTGACTTCCAGTGCCACAGGTAGGCTGTAAGGCAAGCTACTCGAAGTTGCTGAGTGCTGACACCTGCTGAGAATTATATATTTGTGATAGAATCAGACAAGAAGGGGTGGGAGGTGGAGAATGTGACATACTGAGGACAGTTTCATAGTGAAACAGCACACCCACACAGCTATGCACTACATGACACTTACGTTGGCAAGTTGGCTGAGGTGCAGACCAAACTCCTTGCAGAAGACATGTAATTGTGGCAAAACCAACCAATTTGAATCCTTCGTTACAAGTAAAGTTTCGCATTGCTTCGAAGTTGTTATCTCCGGGTGAGACTGAACCATTTTGTGGATGTGCCAAAAATGAACAAGAAACTCCTGAGGGGTTGAAAGATTTGCAAAAAATTAACAAATTATTCAGGGTCAAAGAATAGCAATCATGAAAGTTTGCCTTGTGATTGCACAGTACCGTAAAGTCCGCTGCAACCCCCCCCCCCCCCCACCCCATTTTTGCAAGATCTGCTGGCCCGTATGCACTTGACTCAGGCACCATCACAGAAACTACACGAAAGTGCAGATCACACTGCAGCGCGAAGAGAGCTTTGCTATAGTTTACCATAGCTTTGCTTTGGTAAACTATAAACCAGGACATAATGCTGATCTTCCCTGCTCTATGATGACTCTTGTTCTGTTTTGATTTCTCATTGTTCACCTATATGTCTCATACAAGTTACCAACTACATGTAGTCAACTTCGCTAATAACGACAGCGGGTATAACGACAATTCGCTAATAACGACAGCGGATACTGTAAAAGCCATATATATATATATATATAACTAAGTGCTAACTCTAATGAGTAAATGAGGTGAAATCTGTCGTTAAAACAGAAATCATTATACAGAATTGCTGAATTTCCTATCATTTCTCACCTGTATAGTTTTATTACCTGTGCAAATTGTTCCTAAGTTTGTGCTATTTTTCTTACTATGCTTGTATCCTCGCTGTTTCACTCCGAGTGTATAAAACCTATTGTAGTTTCATCATTATCTTTAGTCACGAATTCCATTGATAATTGTGACAAGAAAACATTCTGGTATACATGATTCGTCCCCATGGTTGTGATATGAGTGCGCATTTAATAACAGTCTGTTATATTCATTGCATTATTAGGATTATTGTCTCCACGTCGCCTTTTTACGTTATACAGAAATCGATACATATACTATCCAATTGAGCGTTGAGAATGAGTGAGAATCGTTACCTTTGGTACACGTAAACTAGTCAATTTTGGGAATTCATTATATGCGTCTCCTTAGAATAATGGCTTTTACAGTATAACGACAATTCGCGAATAACGATAGAATCTCCATGGTCAGAGCAAAGTCCCATCGAACTGTAACGCATAATTACCGCTCAGCATCCAAAGAAAGCCGCTCACCTGCGCACGCCTCATTATTGAGTCGAGGGTTCAATGGACTTCTCCGTGTGCGCTAGATTGAAGTCATGAGTCGGTCAAGTGGCAAGCAAGCCGACGGGAAAAGAATAAGATTGACTGTCGCAGGAAACAGTCTTCTTGTTATTATTGCCAAAATATAGCTACCACTACCGGTACTTCGTAATGTGACATACTCGTCACGCAATTTAATTATTTGAGTATTCTCACTCTAAAGAACCCTTACTTGCACATGTCGGCGCTGGGTTTGATAAATTTCCATTCGTCAAACATACAGCGACACTGCTGCCCGTCAGTATATAGCCTTTGTTGCAGGCAAAGATGGTCACACCATTAGGAGAAGTAGAGCTGCTAACAATTGAACCATTGGAAGGTGGGCTGGGTAAAGCGCAGGATATCACTGAATGAAACATAAAACAACAAGACAAGACAAATGTCATGAGCTGGGTGACAGGCAATTAACTGAGAGTATGTAGATCTAAAACACCTTTGAGATGCATATTCCTAAAACACCTTTGAAATGCATATTCCTCCAAGTAGGTATCTTTCATGAAAAAGGAATATGTTCACTTTCCCTCACTGTACCACTGTGTGTGTGAGAACATGGCAGGTTACTGTTCGCAGGCAGACCGTACACCAGAGTTCTAGTCAAAATAGCAGGGGAAGTGGAGGGGCATAGAAAACAGCACACCGCCACTAGGCTCTCCTGTTGATTTGCTGGCGGTGTGCTGTGGCAATGTGTGGAGGTCAGCCGGAGTTGTGCTGTGGGGGTTGATGAGAGAAGTTTTGATATATGAGCCGCAATCAGCGAAAACGACCCTTAGAGATTTCGTAATTTTTTCGAGAAAAAGGTCGATTTGTGACGTTCAACGATTTTTTGATCGCGCTGCAAACAGCGCGACGACTTCTTGAACTCTTTGCTTGAAGTAATTTATTTTGAAGTTGAAGGGGTGTCGAGTGGCAACTCCAGTGTTCCTTGATCTTGTTGCGATGGCTGCGGACGCCAGAGCTGTTCGCAGAGCACACACGGCAGTCATTGTCTACAGCTAGCTCGAGCCTGGTGGGGAGTGGATGCTGAAGTAGCCGCTGAAGTTCAGAATGAGGATGAAACGTTCTTTGGTTCCGACATCGATGTCGACAGCGAGGCGGATCGCAGCCGTCATCTCCTGCTGCGATGCGGCTCAAGGCGGCCTATGACTCGTCAGAGTCGGAAGCTGAGGAGTCGTCACCTGAGATAAATTCTGAGTCTGGGGCTAGTGACGGCAGCGACGTCGTGTCTTCAGCTGCGGAGGAAGAAATGGAAAACGAGATTGCGGAACGACTCCACGCAGGATGAAGCTTCGAATATGTCGATCATCTCTCCGCACTCATTAGCTATTCTTTGTCATTATAGCTGCTTACTTCACTATTTCAAAAGTATTCAAGTTGCCCACCCACCTTCGAATGCTGAATATTTATTGTACACATACATCGTATACACACATTGCACCAATTTGGAGTACATATTGTAGATTGGTGTATACACCCGTTTAGAATCGGAATATTGAACTTTTTCTTGGCTGAGGTCCTTCAGTAGATGTGGTTCAACAAATTTCTAACCAAAAAGGAATTTCGAAAATGTTGACCCTAAGGGCTGTTTTCGCTGGTTGAGGCCCATATTTGAAAATTTGTAAAACTATTAGGTAAAGTGACAAAGAAAAAGGAGTACGACAAGACAATAAGGATGGAGATAGAGATAGAGATAGATAGACAGATAAATAAATAGATAGATAGATAAATAAATAGATAGATAGATAGATAGATAGATAGACGAACGGACGGACGGACGGACGGACGGATGGACAGACAGACAGATATATAGATAGATAGATATTTAGATAGATAGATCAGAGCCTAGAGCCCTCCGCATCACCAATAACACTTTTAAAACAGTTCTGAAGGATTAACGTCACACCCTGGATGCTGTCTAGAAATTCACACCTTCCATTTCTATATTGACTGAATCCATACTTTCTGCGCTAATACTGGAATAGCTCCTTCAACTAAGAAACCATCCACTCGGCCATCATGGCAATATTTTCTGTGCTGAATCAGACACCAACCAGCTATCGCTAGGCTATGCTTTATACTGGCCAAATCCCACTGAACATGACATGTTCAGTGGGATTGTAATGGTTGCCTGATGATTGCATTGAGCCCCAAGTCATTACTTCAGCTTACATTTGCATGATGGAAGAGAATCACGGGTAGGCCATTGTCCACTACTGTCACAGGTGATTACTGCTGCTCCTGTTCGCTGATATCCTGGAAGGCATATTGTGTTTGCTGTGCCTCCAATCGTAAAACTAGAAGGCGCGGTGTTGAAGTAACCATTAGCAATCAACGGAGTAGCTGGACATGTGATGACTGTTAGCAGTTAAGCAGAAACAAATCATACCCACAACTCAGATTGAAAGTATACACGTAAATACATTTCAATTGACTTCGCGTAGGAGAAGTAGGCTGTAAGGGAAGCTAGTGAGGTTTCTGACTTCTCACACCTGCTGAGAGAATACACAGTCACGACAGAATCAAACAAGAAGAGGTGGGGTGGGGGGGGGGTGGGAGGATGTGGCTTACTGTTGACAGTGTTATAATACAGTAGAACAGGTACATTGCACTACATGACACTTACGTTGGCAAGTTGGTTGAGGTGAAGACCAAATTCCATTAAAGAGACATGTAGTTATAGCAAAACCAACCAATTTGAATCCGTCGTTACAAGTGTAGTTTCTAATCGTTTCGAAGTTGTCATCTCCTGGGGAGACCGAACCATTTCTTGGATGTGTCAAAAGTGAACAAGAGACTCCTGACAGTGGATGAAAGATTTAAAAAACAAAACAGTGAGTCACTGTAAAAGCACAGCAATCGAGAGAGGATGCTTGGTGATTCCACAGCAGATGAAACATTTCCTCATACATACATGACTGTCTTCAGCCTACACCAGATCTACTGATGAGGGATGAATGATGTGTATGAATCAGAGACCGGTGCTTTATTGAACAAGTCGAAGGTTCGATCAACTTCTTGCGTGCGCTAGATTGCAGTCGTGTGTCGGTCAAGTGGCAAGTCAAGTCGACGTAAAAGCATAAGATCGAGTGTGGTGAGGTTCCAGTTTTCTGGCTATTATTTGCAAAGTAGCGAAAATAAAGTCACAACGCTGCATACTCTTCACATAGCATATTTGCGTGTCTCTCTCTATCTATCTATCTGTCCCACCTCTCCCGCTCTCTCTCTCTCTCTCTCTCTCTCTCTCTCTCTCTCTCCCCCTGCCCTGAAGACGCCTTACTTGCACATGTTGGCGCTGGGTTTGATAAATTTCCATTCGTTAAACATACAGTGACACTGCTGCCCATCAGTTTATAACCTTTATTGCAGGCAAAGACGGTCACACCATTAGGAGAAGTAGAACTGCTAACAATTAAACCATTGGAAGGTGGGCTGGGTAAAGCGCAGGATATCACTGAATGAAACATAAAACAACAAGACAAGACAACTTTCCTGAGCTGGGTGACAGGCAATTAACTGAGAGTATGCAGATCTAAAACATCTTTGAAATGCATATTCCTATAGGTATGTGTCTCACATGAAAAAGTAAGACATTCACTTTCTTTATCTTACACATGCATTTTTCTGATTTCTTCTCCAGTGTATGATTTATTGCATTTTAAACCATTTTTTTTTTTTTTTTAGCTTGATAGATAGATAGATACTGTACAAGCTGCATTGGATTGACGGTCCCCGAATCCTGACCACCATGACACCACCGAGGGCAGTTGCTAACCAGCACCGGCGCTCCACTCGCCACCAGCAAGAGAAGCAGCACCAGCGCCAACTAGCACCGACACTGCCCGCCGGAGCCAGTAATAGTGCTCTCCGATCATTCCCCCATGCCACGATCCGAGACTGGAATCGTCTCCCATCTGCCCTGCTACGCAACCTTCCCATGCAGAAGGGAATGCAGGCATTCAAGGAAGGCATCTACAAGTCTCTCCGCAGTCGAGACTGGCACTCAGCCACAGATGCCTTCTGAACCCTCCCCGAACACCCTCTCCGCTTCCACCCTGGCTCCCCCATTTTTATTATTTTAATGTTTAAAAAACAAAACAGTGAGTCACTGTAAAAGCACAGCAATCGAGAGAGGATGCTTGGTGATTCCACAGCAGATGAAACATTTCCTCATACATGCATGACTGTCTTCAGCCTACACCAGATCTACTGATGAGGGATGAATGATGTGTATTAATCAGAGACCGGTGCTTTATTGAACAAGTCGAAGGTTCGATGGACTTCTTGTGTGCACTGGATCGCAGTCGTGAGTCGGTCAAGTAGCAAGTCAAGTCGACAGAAAAGCATAAGATCGAGTGTGGTGAGGTTCCAGTCTTCTGGCTATTAGTTGCAAAGTACTTCCTCCGTATAAAAAAACTTCGTGACTTTTTTGAAAGCTGCGCAGAGCTCTGGAATTGTTTCGTTTGACTCGGAATAACACTTGTGGCATTGTCTAACCTGTTTACAAGCTATAAACAAAGGAAAAAGCAACTCAGACGAATGAGGTTGAGTTTTTTCAGAGTCTTCGTCGCTCATGTCATTGTCACCTGACGACGCCGACTCCGCATCGCCAACAGTCGCAGCTTCCGCTCGCATTTCGTTCAGATTCTTGTCACCTGCAGTGATGATCCGACGTTGGACTTTGGCTACGTCCTCTTCATCTCCAGAGCTGTGTACGAATCGGTGTCGACTATATTCAGTTGTTCCAACGCGCGACCTCCATTATGCCGTGAAACGAGTCGTACAAGCACATCCACACGCTTCGCATTTTCTCGCCGGGATAATCCTCCCAAGCATTCTACAATGGCTTCGAGGAGGCCCCTGCGATTCCCCTTGGTGACAAAGGAGATGTCTGACTGGAGAGAGGCGAAGAAAGCCAGGCCATCGACATTCTGATCCTGAGTCTGCGCGGGTTGCACGACGACTGAAATGTTTCATCTTGCCGTGCGAGCGAAACAAATAGATTCTATGTTCTCACGCAGCGTAGATCTATGGGGCCGCGCACCGCAAGTACGAGCCTGGCCAGTTTCAGGGCAGCGAGTGCCGCGTGACTCCCTGTTCCAGCCACGAGCTACACTTTGTCACTGTGTCTGTTTCGAGCAAGTAAGTGTTAGTTTTTTTTCATTTGACTCTTGAGTTTCTGTCGGCAACCTCCTCACACGCATGGTGTCCGTGGAGAATCTGCTCGGGATCAACCAAACTAACCTCGACATGGACGTGGGTTGTCGATGACAGCCTTTGGCGCAGTTCGTTGAGCAGGTTCTTGCTCAAAAACACCGTTCAAAAAAGTCACGAAGTTTTTGTATATGGAGGAAGTAGCGAAAACAAAGGCGAAAGGCTAAAGGGACAAGCTTATCTATTTTTGCGGATTTTCTTTCATAAAAAATAGACGTCACAGGCTGCTCTTCGTAGGTGTCCGCGTCCCAGCGGTCCGGGCAAGCGACCGAATCTCAGTGGGACACTTGGCCGTGGCCTTTGTACTGGAATCTGTGGGAGAGCCTTTCAAGGGACTACACACCTGGGTACCCGGGTACCGGGTATGGCTCCTTTTTTGTTCCTTTCCTTTTTATTTGTTTTTGCTGAGAAAGAAACGTTGCTGGATGGAAAGCTTTCTGTTCCCGCCATGCGCCAGGGCCTTTGCTCTAGTAAAACCTTGCTGGCTGATAATGGTCATTGCTCGTGATGTCAACTTAGAAGGTGACGGGAAGCTGGGTTTCTTGCCATTTCCAACTTCCTGACTCTGAAAATGTAGCTTGAACTAAGAGCTCCAAATATTTCAGTTTTTCGATGTGCCAGACCTATTGTTACGACCTGCAGAGATGAGGAGCAAGTGAGGCGTTGGATTAATGCCAATAATGGTGTTTATGGCCCGGACGACGCCAGCGGTTTTCACTTGTCAGGAGGACAGCCAAGTTGGAGCAGGCAGATGACAGATTATTAACTTTGAGCATTTATAGCAGAGTGGGTGGCTTGCCAAAGAGAATCGTCTCAGTACCTCATGGTTACTAGTATCTGACAAATGTCTCTTATTGCTAGTCTGCACTAGAGCATTAGCAGAATTGATCATGTCACAAGTAGTGTCAAGACTTGATGTCCTACGATTATACTCAGATCATGTTGCTACTTCACAGGAATATTCGTCCTGCCACTGTACACTCTTCCAGAATTGCATGCAGAAGTCACATGCCTGTCACAGTGTGCAAGGGACAACGCGTTTGCACCGCTTACGGATTCAAGCGGATGGAGTGCAGACCAGATAAGAAGACCGGCTATTCAAATAGCTTGGGCTGCTATTAATTGGCTAGACTCCTGGAAACATGGACAAGAATCTAAACCAGTCCACGGAAACAATATCACGCCACACAGGAAGCTAAATGGCAAACCAATCAAGTTCTTTGGTAATGAAGCCGTTCACCAACATTGTCCGGTTGCATGGCTTGTGTCACTCAAACAAGACCAATAGACCTAAAAGATACGCTGTTGATCAACCACAACTCCAATACCATTGAGCAGTGTCTTCTATACAGATCCAATTAGATATTCAAGTATAATTATGAGTGGAAGTTGCTGGTATAGTCTCTCCTAATGACCGCATATTTGGCATAATGTTCTCTATACTGCACTCTAGAGCTACTTACCTTTTCCGGCATTGAACTCAGGCAGTGACCACTCACCCGCAGAATGAGCCAATTGACACAGAAGCTAAGTACCATGTGCATCCGTCGCAAGAGAAACATGCAAGTCTGCAAGTGAAGTGGATGGACACCCACTGATTTTCTCTTATGCCGATATCAGACATGACCTGAGTGAAACGTATGAAGACTTGCGCCACATTACTGCACAATTCCATATAATTATTGCGAGGCCTTGTGAAATGATTCTCAATGCGCACCTGGTCTACGCCACACAGAATACATCGGATTATAATCGCCAATACAGCTGCCTATTTCTCTGTCTCTCTCTCTGTCTCTCGATCTTCATCTATATCTCTCTATCTACCTATACCCAATCTGCGGACAGAACTGTTTCGTCCTTTGTGGACTCATCAGCGCAGCACAGAGAAAATGAGGCCGAACCTGATTGCAATGAAAAATAAAATTTCCAAAGCCAGATTTAATTCTCCACCTATCAACTCCCTTCTGTGTGTATGCGCGTGCATGGGTGCAGGGTATATGCGCACATATCTTTCTCTCTCTCTCTCTTTCTTCCTGTCTTTACCTGGTTTGTGAATCGGCTCTTTTAATCGTATTTTTTCGGCTCACTGTTTTATGAGTTCACCTCACTATATGTTTTTCTGCTGCTACCTACTTATATTATAGTAGTTGCCTGATGATCGTAGTAATATGTGAAACTCAAGAGTTGTGACACAGCTTCCAATCTCTCTTGTGTACTTCAGTATTAGAAACACAAGGAACGAAATCTCTCGTATCTGTGTGTCTCGACATGCTTCTTTGTCTGTCTGTCTCTCTCTATTCTAGCAATCTCTCTCTCTCTCTCCCTCTCTCTATCTCTCTCTCTTTATCTCTCTCTCTCTCTCTCTCTCTCTCTCTCTCTCTCTCTCTCTCTCTCTCTCTCTCTCTCTCTCTCTCTCTCTATCTCCCTCTCTGTATATATCTGTCGGTCTGTCTATCTCTCGTCTGTCTGTCTTTCTCCTTCTGCCTGTCTTTGTTAGTCTGCCTGTCTGTGTGCCTTTCGTCTGTCTATCTGTCGTCTGTCTGTTTTTCTCCTTCTGCCTGTCTTTGTCAGTCTGCCTGTCTGTGTGCCTCTATGTTTCTCTCTCTCTTTCTCTCTCTCTTTCTCTCTGTCTGTCTCTGTCTGTCTCTCTCTCTCTTTTTCTGTGTGTGTCTATGTGTTTCTCTGAGTCTTCGTCTCGGTCGTTCTATCTGCCTGTCTGCGTAACTCTCCAACTGTTTCCCTGTCTCGGTCTGTCTGTTTGGCTGTCTCTGCTTGTCTCTTTATGTTGGTCTGTCTGCCTGTCCCTGTACTTATGTCTCTATTTCTCTCTCTCTCTCTCTGCTGCTATTCTTCTGTCTCTCTTTGTCCCTCTCTCAGTCTCTTTTTCTCTGTCTCTGTGTCTTCTTCTTGATCTGCCTCTCTCTTTCTCTATTTTTCTCTGAGTCTTTGTGTCTGTCTCTCCTTTTGTCATTCATTATGACTGTGTGTCTCTCTGTTTCTGTCTCTGACTTTCTATGTCTGATTGTCTGTCTCTGTCTGTTTTTCTCCTGAGTCTGTGTGTCTGTCTGTCTCTCCTGTTTTTCCTTAACGTTTGTCCCTCTCTTTCTGTCTCTGTCTTTCTGGATCTAATCGTCTGTCTGTTCGTCTTTGTCTGTCTGTCTTTGTCTCCTTCTCTTTGAGTCCGTGTCTCTGTTTGTCGCTCTTTATGCGCATCCCTCTGTTTCTGTCTTTCTGTGTCTGCCTGTCTCTATCTCTGTACCGGCCGCTGTTCTGCACGTAATTTAATCGTGTGGCACCACATACGTGGCTGTATATTTACCTATGCTGGGACATTCACACCCAAACACACACACGCACAAACACACACACAAACACACACACACACACACACACACACATACATTGTCTTTGTCTGTTTTTCTCCTGATTCTGTGTGTCTGTCTCTCCTGTTTTTTTCTTAATGTTTGTCCCTCTCTTCTTGTTTCTTCTTTCTGGGTCTGATCGTCTTTGTCTGTCTGTCTTTGTCTCTGTCTCTTTCTCTCTGAGTCCGTGTCTCTGTCTGTCGCTCTTTATGTGCATCCCTTTGTTTCTGTCTCTGTCTTCCTGTGTCTGTCTGTCTCTATCTCTGTACCGGCCGCTGTTCTGCGCAGAATGAAATCATTTGGTACCACGCACGTGGCTGTACATTTCTCTTTCTCTCTGAGTCCGTGTCTCTGTCTGTCGCTCTTTATGTGCATCCCTTTGTTTCTGTCTCTGTCTTTCTGTGTCTGTCTGTCTCTATCTCTGTACCGGCCGCTGTTCTGCGCATAATTAAATCGTTTGGCACCACGCACGTGGCTGTACATTTCTCTTTCTCTCTGAGTCCGTGTCTCTGTCTGTCGCTCTTTATGTGCATCCCTTTGTTTCTGTTTCTGTCTCTGTCTTTCTGTGTCTGTCTGTCTCTATCTCTGTACCGGCCGCTGTTCTGCGCATAATTAAATCGTGTGGCACCACGCATGTGGCTGTACATTTCTCTTTCTCTCTGAGTCCGTGTCTCTGTCTGTCGCTCTTTATGTGCATCCCTTTGTTTCTGTCTCTGTCTTTCTGTGTCTGTCTGTCTCTATCTCTGTACCGGCCGCTGTTCTGCGCATAATGAAATCGTGTGGCACCACACACGTGGCTGTACATTTACCTATGCGTGGGACATTCACACCCAAACACACGCACACACACACACACACACATTATCTATCTCTGTCTGTTATTCTCCTGAGTCTGTCTGTCTCTCCTGTTTTTCTTTTATTTATTATGTTTGTCCCTCTCTTACTGTCTTTCTGGGTCTGATCGTCTGTCCGTTCGTCTTTGTCTCTGTCTCTTTCTCTCTGAGTTCGTGTCTCTGTCTGTCGCTCTTTATGCGCATCCCTTTGTTTCTATCTCTGTGCCGGCCCCCTGTTCTGCACATAATGGAATTGTGTGGCACCACAGACTTGGCTGTATATTTACCTATGCGTGGGACATTCATACACCCACACACGCACACACACACACACATACTCGTACGCTCGATCATACAAGTACATGTAGTACTGCAGAAGTCACATCAGAGATAATATTAAAACTCTCTCTCTCTCTCTCTCTCTCTCTCGGGTGCAGCGGCAGCTTCCTTGACACTGTCTCTCTCTCTCTCTCTCTCTCTCTCTCTCTCTCTCTCGCGCGCGCGCGCTATGCCTGCCGCTGTGCTGTCATACAGATAGTGAAATTGTGTGGCACAGAACACGTACATGACTGCATATTTACCCACGCGTGGGACATTCACGCATGCACACACACTCACACACACACACATGACCTGCAGCAAATAACATTTCATAGCTACAGGACCTTCAAAGAAAGTCATGGTGTCAAGAAGATATACAATGTCATGTAGAAGGATAATTGTAAAACAGCTTGCTGTTTACTAGAGCATTGGTAATATAAATTATCATATAATACATGTAGTAGGGAAACTCCTTGAGAGTCAAACTATCGGATAAATTAATGGCAAGCGAGAGTCTCTACTTTTTAGAGTAGAATGGGTGGGTACGCAGACCAGCGTAAGTCATAACAAATATTGATTGATAATAAAGTGTAACCAATGCTGGTAATGGATCATGTGTGAGCGACCAAAGAGGCGTACATCACATGTCCTGTACCACTATAACCACACACAAACGGCCAGGAGAATTTCACGTACCGATGGATCTATCATGCTGCCGGGATCCCTCATATATCTCATACTGTGGTACATAACCATCGGAGAATTGCAAGGACCTAAATACGGCAAGCAAATCAGGGACATTAGGTGCAAGACCCGTTGTTCTAGTTGTCTAGACTGCACTGTGTTCTTGAAAATACTGAGCCTCCACGTTGTATCTGCATGTGGCATCCGTTGATCTCATTTGAGTAGTAGTAGTAGGCATGCACTGCATTACGTTTTGATGAAAGGTTCGATAGCTGCTGAATAGGTTTATCATTTGGCTTCCTGTGTGGGTATTGTTTCTGTGGATTGGTTCGGAGCAATGTTCAGATGGTCCAGGCATCTGGCCAATTAATTATGGCAGTCCAAGCTAGTTGAATATCCGGATCACTTTCTCTCATCTGGTGTACACTCCATCCGCTTGCATCCATAAGCAATGCAAAGGCGTTGTCCATTGCACACTGTGACAGGCATGTAACTTCTGCATGCAATTCTGGGAGAGCGCACAGTGGCAGGACGAATATTCCCGTGAAGTTGCTACATGATCTGAGCATAATCGTAGGACATCAAGTCTTGTAACTACTTGTGACATGATCAATTCTGCTATGCTCTAATGCAGACTAGCAATAAGAGGCATTTGTCACATACTAGTAACCATGAGGTGCTGAGACGATCTGCTATAAATACTCAAATAATCTGTCATCTGCCTGCTCCAACTTGGCTGTCCTCCTGACAAGTGAAAACCGCTGGCGTCTTCAGGGCCATAAACACCATTATTGGCATTAATCCAACGCCTCCCTAGGCTAGGCCCTTGCTCTTCATCTCTGCAGCTTCTAACAATAGGTCTGGCACAACGAAAAACTAAACTTGATACTTGGAGCTCTTAGTTCAAGCTACATTTTCAGAGTCAGGAAGTTTCAAATGGCAAGAAACCCAGCTTCTCTTCACCATTGGCATCACGAGCAATGACCATTATCAGCCAGCAATGTTACTAGAGAAAATGCCAAAGGCGCTGGCGTGAACAGAAAGCTTTTCATGCAGCAACGTTTCTTTCTCAGCAAAAACAAATAAAAAGGAAAGGAACAAAAAAGGAGCAACACCAGGGATTTGTCCATACCCGGTACCCAGGTGTGTAGTCCCTGGAAAGGCTCTCGCACAGATTCCAGCACAAAGGTCACGGACAAGTGTCCCACTGAGATGCGGTCGCTTGCCCGGACCGCTGGGACGCGGACACCTCCGAAGAGCAGCCTGTGACGTTTATTTTTTATGAAAGAAAATCCGCAAAAATAGATAAGCTTGTCCCTTTAGTCCTACCCAAAACAAAGTCACAACGCTGCTTACTCTTCACATAGCATACTTCCTCCGTATACAAAAACTTCGTGACTTTTTTGAACAGTGTTTTTGAGCAAGAACCTGTTCAACGAACGGCGCCAAAGGCTGTCATCGACAACCCACGTCCATGTCGAGGTTTGTTTGGTTGATCCCGAACTGATTCTACACGGACGCCCTGCGTGTGAGGACGTTGCCGACAAAAACTCAAGAGTCAAATAAAACAAATAACACTTACTTGCTCGAAACTGACACAGTGACGAAGTCTAGCTCGTGGCTGGAACACGGAGTCACGCGGCACTCGCTGCCCTGAAACTGGCCAGGCTCGTACTTGCGGCCCCATAGATCTACGCGGCGTGAGAACATAGACTTGTTTCGCTCGCACGGCAAGATGAAACATTTCAGTCGTCGTGCAACCAGCGCAGACTCAGGATCAGAATGTCGATGGCCTGGCTTTCTTCGCCTCTCTCCAGTCAGACGTCTCCTTTGTCGCCAAGGGGAATCGCAGGGACCTCCTCGAAGCCATTGTAGAATGCTTGGGAGGATTATCCTGGCGAGAAAATGCGAAGCGTGTGGATGTGCTTGTACGACTCGTTTCACGGCATAATGGAGGTCGCGGGTTGGAACAACTGAATATAGTCGACACCGATTCGTACACAGCTCTAGAGATGAAGAGGACGTAGCCAAAGTCCAGCGTCGGATTATCACTGCAGGTGACAAGAATCTGAACGAAATGCGAGCGCAAGCAGCGACTGTTGGCGATGCGGAGTCGGCGTCGTCAGGTGACAATGACGTGAGCGACAAAGACTCTGAAAAAACTCAATCTTATTCGTCTGAGTTGCTTTTTTCTTTGTATATAGCTTGTAAATAGGTTAGACAATCCCACAAGTGTTATTCCGAGTCAAACGGAACAATTCCAGAGCTGTGCGCAGCTTTCAAAAAAAGTCACGAAGTTTTTGTATACGGAGGAAGTATTTGCGTGTCTCTCTCTCTCTATCTATCTCTCCCACCTCTCCCTCTCTCTCTCTCTCTCTCTCTCTCCCCCCCCCCCCCGAAGACGCCTTACTTGCACATGTCGGCGCTGGGTTTGATAAATTTCCTTTCGTCAAACATACAATGACACTGCTGCCCATCAGTTTATAGCCTTTATTGCAGGCAAAGACGGTCACACCATTAGGAGAAGTAGAACTGCTGACAATTAAACCATGGGAAGGTGGGCTGGGTAAAGCACAGGATATCACTGAATGAAACACAAAACAACAAGACGAGACAAATTTCCTGAGCTGGGTGACTGGCAATGAACTGAGAGTATGTAGATCTAGAACATCTTTGAAATGCATATTCCTACAGGTAGGTATCTAAAATGAAAAAGTAAGACGTTCACTTTCCCTCACGGTACCACTTTGTGGGTGAGAATATTGCAGGTTACTGTTGACAGCCAGACCGTACACCAGAGTTCTAGCCAAAATAGCAGGGGAAGTGGAGGAGGCATGGAAAACAGCACACCACCACTAGGCTCTCCTGTTGCTTTGCTGGCGGTGTGCTGTGGCAATGTGTGGAGGTCAGTCGGAGTTGTGCTGTGGGGTTAATAAGAAAGGCTTTGATTTATTTGAAAATTGCATAAGTATTAGACAGACAGACAGACAGACTGACAGACTGACAGACTGACAGACAGACAGACAGACAGACAGACAGACAGACAGACAGACTGACAGACAGACAGACAGACAGACAGACAGACAGACAGACAGACAGACAGACAGACAGACAGATAGATAGATAAATAGATAGGTAGGTAGGTAGATAGATAGATAGATAGATAATCTGGCTTTGGAAATTTTATTTTCATTGCTATCAAGTTCGGCCTCATTTTCTCTGTGCTGCGCTGAGGAGTTCAAAAAGAACGAAACAGCATGCTGTCCGCAGATTGAGTAGATAGATAGATAGATCGATACATGTAGATAGCTACATAGATAGCTACATATAGATAGATGGACAAAGTGTCTGGGGTCCTTGCTGCGACAAGTAGGTAGATAGATAGATGCTCAATATGCAGACAGATAGAGAGTTTGGAGTACAATTTTGGGGGTAAAATGCAGCATGAAGGAGTGAAATTCATTGGTTTGAGGGAAAGACACAAACGGAAAAAGTCTGAAGAAAAATCGACTGTCACCATCAGGATTCGAACCAGGGACCTTCGCTTGTAGCCAGCAATGCTCTAACCACTGAGCTATGCTGTAGCCATCATCCCAGCAGAGGCCGTTCAACATCTTCTTCAGACTTCGTATCTCACACTTCCTGTGAATCCACACAGGCGGGTGGGACGCAGCCCTCATTGCAACCCACACACTTCATGTACAAATTAGCACTCGGGGAGCCCCAAGTCATAAATTCAGCTTACATTTGCATGATGGAAGAGAATCCCAAGTAGGCCATTGTCCACTACTGTCACAGGTGATTGCTGCTGCTCCTGTTCGCTGATATCCTGGAAGGCATATTGTGTTTGCTGTGCCTCCAATCGTAAAACTAGAACGTGTGGTGTTGAAGTAACCATTAGCAATTGACAGAGTAGCTGGACATGTGATGACTATTAGCAGTTAAGCAAAACCAACCACACACACAACTCAGATTGAAACTATATACGTAAATGTATATCAAGTGACTTCAAGTACGAGAAGTAGGCTGTAAGGCCAAGTAAAAAAATTGATTGTTTATCGTCCGCGCCCGCCCCAAAATTTCACCCTACCCGCCGAATTATGTTATTTTTTAATTATTGGTAAATGTACTGTATGTACTGCGGTCTACAGCCTCTAATCAGCATGGCCGTAGATTTTCGAAGGTCAAGTCCACAGACTGAACCATAACTTAGTTGCTATGGGCTTGAAAAGTGAAACTGATCATAAATTGCCTGATTTTCTTCGTTTTTTCTACGCAACGTTGGTTGTTACACTTTCCATTATCCTCTGGGGTTGCGAAGACCTGCCCTACAGCCATAAATGCATAATAAAAAATAAAATTAAAAACCTCCCGTCCGCTCCGATTTCTCGGGAAAATCTGACGATAAACAATCAATATTATTTTACATGGCCTAATGGAAGCTAGTGAAGTTGCTGAATTCTCACATCTGCTGAGAGAATACACAGTCACGACAGAATCAAACAAGAAGAGGTGGGGTGGGGTGGGGTGGGGGGGGGGGGGATGTGGCTTACTGTTGACAGTGTTGAAATGAAGTAGCACAGACACATTGCACTACATGTCACTTACGTTGGCAAGTTGGTTGAGGTGAAGACCACATTCCATTAAAGCGACATGTAGTTATAGCAAAACCAACCAATTTGAATCCGTCGTTACAAACGTAGTTTCTAATCGTTTCGAAGTTGTCATCTCCTGGAGAGACCGAACCATTTCTTGGATGTGTCAAACGTGAACAAGAAACTCCTGAAAGGGGATGAAAGATTTAAAAAACAAAAACAAAACAGTGAGTGGTTGTACAAGTACAACAATCGAGAGAGGATGCTTGATGATTTCACAGTTGATGAAACATTTCCTCATACATACATGATTGTCTTCTGCCTACACCAGATCTACTGATGAGGGATGAATGATGTGTATTAATCTCTCTTTCTCTCTCTCTATCTATCTCTCCCACCTCTCTCTCTCTCTCTCTCTCTCTCTCTCTCTCTCTCTCTCTCTCTCTCTCTCTCTCTCTCTCTCTCTCTCTCTTCTCTCTCTCTCTCTCTCTCTCTCTCTCTCTCTCTCTCTCTCTCTCTCTCTCTCTCTCTCTCTCTCTCTCTCTCTCTCTCTCTCTCTCTCTCTCTCTCTCTTTCTCTGTGTCTCTCTCCCTACCCCCCCCCCCGAAGACGCCTTACTTGCACATTTTGGCGCTGGGGTTGATAAAACTCCATTCGTCAAACATACAGCGACACTGCTGCCCATCAGTTTATAGCCTTTATTGCAGGCAAAGACGGTCACACCATTAGGAGAAGTAGAACTGCTAACAATTAAACCATTGGAAGGTGGGCTGGGTAAAGGGCAGGATATCACTGAATGAAACACAAAACAACAAAACAAGACAAATTTCCTGAGCTGGGTGACAGGCAATGAACTGAGAGTATGTAGATCTAAAACATCTTTGAAATGCATATTCCTATAGGTATGTATCTCACATGAAAAGCAAGATGTTCACTTTGCCTCACTATGCCACTGTGTGTGAGAATTATGGTAAGAGAAAGGTGACAGGCAGACAGTACACACACATGCAAATGCACACACACACACACACACACACACACACACACACACACACACACACACACACACACACACACACACACACACACACACCTTGAAACCTTGAACCTTGAACGCCCATTGCCGTAGCAATGATAGCGATGGCTTCCTCACGCTGAGGCTCTAAACTCGAAATCTGCAGTATGGCGTATGCCGCTTGAGGTCACCAGGACGACGGAACACTCTGTCACAGCGGTAGTTGGGGCACGGGATGTCTGGTGCACACACACACACACACACACACACACACACACACACACACACACACACACACACACACACACACACACACACACACACACACACACACCTTGGTCCTTGGTAACACTGCCATCAAATGGTCACGTGTCCCCTGTGCAGGGGTCGACAGCACTGAGTTCAGCATTGGATCCAGAAACGCCGCTCTACTTCCTGGACAGGAAATTCGCACAGCTATGCAGGTCGAAACCGCGGGATGACTTGCAGCAGCGACCGCAGCCGGGACAATGCCCTCTGCAGCAGGGCAGGGCAACCCGCTGTTTCCGGACCGAGTCTGCCGATGCCACAGCCGAGACCGACGCCACTTCAGCAGCCGAGTTGGAGCGACACTTATGCGAAGCTAGCCCGCCAGCACTCAAGAACCATCTCCCACACGCATCACATAGTCGGCTGCCGGACTGCTCAGATATGGGCTTCCTCCTCTCGGCCAGGCACTTGTGGCGATTCTTGTATTTCTGGTGGGCGAAAGTACGCTGGCAGATATCGCAGAGCACAGAAGTGTCACGCTGAGCCGATCGTGGTACTGGTTGAGCGGAATACGCACTGCGCCATTTCCCACGCTCCTGGGCGAGGTCGTACCATTCCGTGTGGTCGATGTTCTCTGCGGAGAGGTCATCTGTGACAGAGTCTCACCACTGTTTCCGAGGACCGCAAGCCGGCCTCGGCGGAAGGAGCGTACCAAACAGGAGTGGCGCGGAGTTATATCGCCGTCCATCCTAGCTAGATGGCCTAGCCACTCCAGACGGCGGCGAAGCACACACACACACACACACACACACACACACACACACACACACACACACACACACACACACACACACACACACACACACACACACACACACACACACACACACACACACACACACACACACACACACACACACACACACATACACACTCGCACACATACACACAGATATCATACATTTATACACAAGTGCTCACGCAAGTACACACATGCACCCATGACATAGTGTTTATTCACTGGTTTGCACATGTTCAACACAATCATATAATACTGGCACGCTCAAAGACATAAACTGGTGTAGCACTGGTTTGCAACTCCACAAAACACATGTATTCATCTCAAGTCTTTTTTGTATTCAATTCAAAGTTATACATGCTTGTAGAGTAGGTCTTTCAAAAAAATCCTTTTGGAAAATGTTACATGATCCAAGAAGGGTAGACAACAGCATTTGGCCTTGAACAGATAACGATCACACCTTAGACTAGGCTCTCCTGTCACTTTGCTGACGGTACGCTGTGGCAATGTGTGGAAGTCAGCCGCGGTTGTGCTTGTGCAGAAAAGTAAAGTGTAACATGACCAATCAAAATCTTCATCTTACGTTTGCATGAAGGAAGAGAACCTCCTGTAGGCCATTGTCCGTTCTTGTCACAGGTGAGTACTGCTGCCCCTGTTCGCTGGTATCCCGGAAGGCATGATATGTTTGCTGTACCTCCACTTATAAAACTAGAAGGCACGATATTGAAGTAACCATTAGCAATTGACGGGATTGATGGACATGTGTTGACTGTCAGAAGTTTAGCAGAAAACAACCAGACACAGCAGTTTACACGATCATCCACCATTCCCTGTAGTATTGTGATAAGAAAGAACTCGGATGGAGAGCCAAGGATTATTCACGCATGTCGATGACGATACTGGCAAGACCATTGGAAAATACCGTCAAAGCACGATTCAAGGACGCAAAGCAACATTCCACACAACTCAAAAGATGCAAAGATCAAGAAAAGTGAAAGCTATGCGAACCAGAATCATGAAAAACCGAACGCCTCAGTAAAACAGCACTGTACTTCGACTATGACACTTTAGATGGACAATAAGCAGCGGTAACAAGCAGCAGTTTCACACGACGATCGTTGCGCCGTAATAGATAATGATGGCTCATTAGGTCATCGACATGCATGAACATCTGCCAACGTCCTTCACAGCTGAGACTTTCAGCTCGTGCTTATCCTGGTTGTGCTCACGTTCCCCTCCTTAAGTTATTTCTATAACTTTGAACCTTCCAAGTTGGAAGACTGTTGGAGTGTGCATCCAAGATGTGCTAGAGCTGTTAGCCAGTTAGTTGTAGAACGTCAGTACCGTCGGTCAGTGTCGTGCAATGTTATCGCATGAGCTGATTGTTTGGTAACTGGTGGTGTTAGTGGATATTATAGCGTAACTTGTAGTTCCTTGGTCCTTTTTACTTTTTTGATAAGAAAGGAACAAAAATATTCAACACAGATAGTTGTGTCTCCTTGGCTTGTTGGATGAGGAGCATTTAGATCCAAACACAGATACCATACGGCAGAATGGTCGGCACATGATTCTGGCAGGAGATTTTAATACTCGCAAGCATGTCCTGGCTTGGCAGCTCTCGGACGACATTCGCATGGGAGTTCTTTTTAAGAAATCGGTGCAACACACAGTCTTGTCCCGCATGTGACCCAGCCAACCCGTGGGCCAAGCACATTGGATCTCGTCTAGTCCGACTTTCCTGGCACTGTCCACACAGCAGTATCATGTCCAATTGGTCGCTCTGACCACTGTGTAGTATTGTCCAGTGACTTTCAGGAAATCACTCCTGTACTCGAGCGGCCAACAAGCAGGAAAGTATGGTGTTATGACCAAGCAGACTGGGGCAAACTGAGGGCACATGTTGCGAAACCACAAGTTCTCAAGAGTGAAAGGCCTTCTCGCTGGTGACATTGTGTTCGTTTCAATGCAGTTGTATCCCGACTCCGCCGTACCGCTGATGTTTACGACGTGGTATACGCTACAGGCGCTATGTGCGGTTTGCTGAGTGCGCTGTAGTTGTATGTTGTATGTGTATGCTTTTCTCATACCGTAGTTCCGCGCATATAAGCCCATGGGCTAATATACGAAATAATGCATTTTCCGGGGAAAAAAATCAGTAATAATGGTTCGTTTTTTAGCCCTGGGCCTATATTCGAATTTTGTAGGCAGCTGGCACGCGAAAAAGTACAAGTCCGTGGATGCCAGTTGTCCGCCTACCGCAGGTACCGGTACTGGTAATCTAGTCTGCACTGACATGCTGTACATGTACTATCAGTCAAGAGTCCATGGGGGTCGAGGGTTAACCCTTCACTTTCTTCTTTTCTGGCTCATCAACAAGAACAGCTCTGTGCCGGTATTGCGAAAAATACACTTGACAAACGGGTCCGTAACGGTGTTTGGGTCTGTTTATTAGCCCATGGGCCTATAAACGGAGGTGGGCTTATATCCGGATATAGGCCCGTGGGCTTATATGCGCGGAACTACGGTATACGCTGTCATTTTCATGTTATAACTACCTGGTGGATTTAGTGTTAGTTATTCATTAATTATTCGATGAAGTGAAATATACTGTGGAAGAGAAAGAGTTGTCCTCGTGCCGTGTGGTCGTGTGATCCTGAGAATTTAGAGAATCTTAGAGGGTTCACAACAGCACATTTCCGCGGCTTTGACTGGGCCGCTGTCGTCTGCGATGACCCCAAACGTGCGTGTGAACAACTCACAACTATAATTCTGGATGGAATGGACACTTTTATACCATCTAAGACCCTGACAGTACGAACGACAGACCCTTGTTGGTGGACACCTGAGTGCAGCACTGCAGGTCAAGAAAGAATCGCGCATGAAAACGGTAGCATCAGCACCTTGATGGTGGAGATTTGCGAGCATCATTCACCGACTTAGTGGCCTGAACAGCTGCTATTTTGCTGCACGCCCAATCATCCCATGATGCTCGTGTCAAAGCTACGCTCAGCTCAGGCTCACAAGCAGTGGACAAGCAGTGGTGGTCCAACATGCAGCGAGCTGCTGGGATGAAACGTGCCTCTGATATACCTCTTCTGATGGACACAGACGGCACAGA